TTTCTTCCTTTTTAGTATCTACAAGGTTGTATATATATGTACTACTTTCTCAATAGAAAGACATCAATTTCTTCAAATTCTTGTTCTATCGCACTTATAATTCCATATCCCTTTATTGATCAGTTCCAAAAAGAAAAAAAAAAGATTTTGTGATTTTTTTAGACTTGGAAGAGGAGAATTTTATTGATAACCAAAGGGAGATAACAAGTACAGAATGGTAAAGCACAAAAGCTTAAATGATAACCCACTATAGATGAAGCATCATGAGAAGTCAAAACCAACTAAGCAAGGTGTTGATGTCCCGACAATGCTGATTCCTACTATAGATAACTTCTGTCCACTTCTCTAGCTAGATTTTCAGCCACAGAATTGGTTTTTGTGGTAAATCATAGGGATTTTCTATTTAACTGGTACTCTGTTTTAGGTGTAGAGCTAGAGTTTGGTAACTGTTGGAATCTTTTTCTTTATATTTATGATTGTATTCTGCTTAGTTAGGGCCTGTTTGGTCTGGTTAAAATAGCCTTTTTTTTCCTTTGTTTATGTACTTTGACTACAGCAAGGGCATAAGGGTCTTTTCCCTTTTATTTATGGTCGCCCTATATATATAACATAAGCTGGCGCCACCAGACAGATTAGAACTCTCCAAACCTTTCTCTTCTCTTCTCCTTTATCTCTTCTTTCTTCTGTTCTTCTTCCTTATTTCTTCTCTTTTCTTCTACTAATATGGTATCAGAGCGGTTCTACTGGGTCTGAGAGCAGATCAAACTAGTTCTTTCTTCTTTACCTTGCTGTCTTCTTCAACTGAAATCAGAGAAGTTGACCTATGACTGGTACAAGTTTGCTTTACCCTTTTTTTTCCTTTCTCTTGGTCATGTACCAAGAAAAACCCTATGAAACAACATTGCTGAATGCAGTCAGAGGAATTGTGAGGTTCAGACCTCTTTTCTGTGGATCGTGTGATCCTGTACCTGAGAATGGATTACTTGTAGGCCACAAATGACCTGTTTTTACCAAGTTTTGGTGTGACTTCATTGCTTTGTGATCTCTCCTAGTAGTTGGTGTGTTTAGGTGATTTGGAAAATTGGTGGATTGGGACTGTTAAACTTGTGCAGTGCTGAAATCAACCTGAAATTAAGAGAATTGGAGCTGGTCTGTATTCAGATTGTATCCAGACCAGAGTGTGTGCATGTGGACTGCATCTCTAGTGTGTTTTTTGGACCTTTTTGGGTATTAAGAGAGATCTTAAGGTGTGTGTTGAAACTGAAGTGTTCTTGAATCATGTCCTCTGAGAATTCTGCAATGCCTGAGATTTTAGGAGGTCGAAACGGAAAGTGGGGGGATGGATGAGTTTCCCCATGCATTATTGCTAGGGGGAAAATAGGGTATATCAATGGTAAAGTGAAGGAACCAAAGTCTAGAAGTGCTGAACATCACAGGTGGGACCAAGAAAATAGTATGGTGGTGTCAATGGTCTCTACATGTTGGAGAATAAAGTTGGTCTTGTGGCTACAAAGTCCTTAAGTTCATCTAGTGAGAGTCATGCCTACTTACGGCATAGTCGTTTTGGTCATCTTTCGTTTGAGTCTTTAAAACTTATGTTTCCTGAGTTATTTAAGTCTTTGTCAGTTAGTGAGTTACAGTGCCAGGCATGTCAATTGAGCAAACATTGTAGAAATTTGTTTCCTTTAAGAAATAAAAGATCTGAATTTCCATTTCATATCGTCTAATTTGATGTTTGGGGCCCTGTTACTCTACCTTCTGAGATTGGATATAAGTATTTCATTACTTTGATTGATGACTATTCTAGATATACATGGGTTTATTTTATGTGATCTAGAAATGAAGTGCCAAAGATTGTGAAAGATTTTCAACGCATGATTTTTACTCAATTCCAAACTGAGATTCATATTTTCTAGTTGGACAACGCAAAGGAGTACTTTCATAGTGATCTCACGGAGTTCTTTGCTTCATGTGGATCTCTTCATCAAAGCTCTTGTTCTAGGACACCCTAGCAAAACGATGTCATTGAAAGGAAAAATTGTCATTTTCTCGAAGTAGCTCGTGGTTTATTACTCCATATGAATGTTCTGAAACACTTTTGGATGGATGTTGTTATGTGTGCTGCATATCTCATCAATTGTATGCCATCTTGTTTACTAGAGTATAAGGCCCCACATCAACTTCTGTTTCCTACAGCTCCTCTGTCCCCTATTCCAATGTGTGTCTTTGGGTGTCGTTGCTTCGTTCATGACTTGTCCCCTTCTCGTTGTAAGCTCGAACCTCATGCCATTCTTTGTGTTTCCCTTGGTTACCCTTTATCTCAAAAGGATTTCCATTGCTATGACCCTTCCTTACGCAAGTACTATGCCTCCATGGGTGTATCCTTCTTTGAGAATCAGCCTTTTTTTTCTCGGTTTCTCCTCAGGGGGAGAGTAGGGTTGAGGAGGAGAAACACACCCAGACTCAAACTCAATTACCTCCTCTTCCTGATCCTCCATTTCATGTCTTCCTTCACCGCCATAAGAGCCAGTAGAGTTCAAGAGTCGTGGAACCTGAAACTATGCAACCAATACCATCAGACCCTCTAGAGGTAGATCCTCCTCATCAATCAGGTACACTTGATCCCATTGATATGCCTGAACCTCTTGATATTGATTCCCCTGTTATTAATGATCTTGATGTTCCTATTGTTAAGAGAAGGGTGTTCGATTTTGTACTACTAATCATCCTATCTCTCACTTTGTGTCCTATGATCATATTTCACCTTCATACCGTGTGTTCCTTTCCTCCATTGACAGTGTTTTTGTTCCTAAGAATGTGGCATAAGCTTTATCCAAACCTGAATAGACAAATGCAATGAAGGAAGAAATTAATGCCTTACACAAAAATGGAACCTGGGAGTTGGTGGATCTTCTTGAAGGAAAGAAACCTGTGGGATGCAAGTGGGTGTTCACAGTGAAGCATAGGGCCGATGGTACGATAGAAAGGTACAAAGCCAGATTGGTGACCAAAGGGTTTACACAAGTATATGGAGTAGACTATGCAGAGACCTTTGCTCCAGTAACCAAGATGAATTCTATCAAAGTCCTCCTTTCACTAGTAGCCAATCTTGATTGAGGACTTCACTAGTTGGATATTAAAAATGCATTATTGAATGGTGACCTAGAGGAGGAGGTGTACATGACTCAACCTCCAGGTTTTTGTGCCAAAGGTAGTGAGCAAAAGGTGTGCAGGTTAAAAAAATCATTATATGGGTTGAAACAATCACCTCAGGCCTGGTTTAGTAAGTTTCACTTAGTTGTACCCCAAATGGGGTTCAAACAATGCCAGCCAAATCATACTCTATTTGTGAAGAAAGGTGAAGGGAAAATTGCAGGTTTAATTGTGTATGTTGATGACATAATGGTTACAGGAGATTAGAAGACTGAAATACAAAAGCTGAAGAAATTCTTAGCCACTCAATTCGAGGTGAAAGATCTAGGCCCCTTACGTTATTTCCTTGGGATTGAAGTCGCCCGCTCTCAAAAGGGCATCTTTATTTCCCAAAGGAAATGTGTACTAGATCTATTAGAGATGCAGGCAAGTTGGGGGTGAAGCCAATTGATTCACCAATTGAGCCTAACCATAGGAGACAGTCAGGGGAAGTTTTTGAAAGATGTGAAGATGTTCTAGAGACTTGTAAGGAGACTCTTATACTTGTCTATGACTAGGCCTGATATTGCCTATGCAATGGGTGTCCTTAGTCAATTCATGCATAACCCTAGGACAACTCACTTTGAAGCTGCATAAAGGATCCTTAGATACCTCAAGAAGTTCCCAAGAGTTGGTTTGCTATTCCAGAAACATGGGCATTTGAAGGTTGAAGTGTATACAAATGTTGATTGGGCAAGGGCAGTTGATGATAGAAAGTCTACTAATGGGTATTGTACCTTTGTGGGGAGAAACTTAGTCACCTGGAGAAGTAAGAAACAAAGTGTGGTGGCTTGGTCCAGCACTGAAGAGGAATACAAAGCTATGTCTCATGGAGTTGTTGAAATCATGTGGATAAAACACCTGTTAGGTGAACTGGGTTTTGTAGTTAATAAACCTATGTCACTATTGTGACAATAAAGCTGCTACCAACATTGCTGCTAACCCAGTCCTCCATGATAGAACAAAACATATTGAAGTGGACAAGCATTTTATTAGAGAAAAACTTGTGAGTGGACAAGTGTGCAATCTATATGTCTGTTCAGAAGAACAGCTTGCAAACATCTTCACCAAGGGCCTTCATCATGTGCGGCATAGTAATTTGTGTGACAAGTTAGGCATGATTGGCATCTATGTCCCAACATGAGGGGGAGTGTTGGTCTGCTTAGTTTAGGGTCTGTTTGGTCTGGTTAAAATAGCATTTTTTCCTTTGTTTATGTACTTTGACTACAGCAGGGGCATAAGGGTCTTTTCCCTTTTATTTATGGTTGCCCTATATATAATAACATAAGCTGGTGCTGCCAGACAGATTAGAACTCTCCAAACCTTTCTCTTCTCTTCTCCTTTCTCTCTTCTCTTCTTCTTCCTTATTTCTTCTCTTTTCTTCTGCTAATAGTAACCATGAAGGCTTTTTGTGGACTTTGCATCTCTGTTTTGGGCTGATTGTGTTTTTGTTTCCTGGTTTATTTTTTGTTTTTTGTCTTTACAAATACTGCTTACTGTTTATGTGTCTGCTGCATCTTTTAACTAATGCATACTAACTTCTGCTTTTCACCTATACATCAAATTTCTAGCCTTTTCTCACATGTTGGATGGGAGGAGTAGGGAGATGTCAACTACAGAGTTGTCAGGAGGAGCAAGGATCCACTACATTTTTGAATCAATTTTTGTGAAAAGCTTGGAGGTGCTTTATCTACCTTTTCAGCGATTTGCATCCTTGCATTATTCTTTGTCATATGATCTTGTACTTCATCAATCTGTAGTTGGTAACTTCTCCCATTAAGCTGAAACCTTCCAAATGAATTACTTTATATTGTTCTTCATTGATTGTTAAATCATATTTTATCAACTTGCCAGCAATGCCTTAAACTGGAATATACATTTGATTCCACAGATCCTCAAAATAAATTACGTTCAGCACTTTCTTTTTACTGTTAAACTGTGTTTCTTTTATTATATCAACTTGTCAGATATAAGATTTTATTTATCATATTGGGAAATTCACGGGTGTGCAGGAAGTGGATCCTTGTGATGGTTTCACTGACAAAGACATCCAAACAGCCATTGAGAATGCCACTGGTCCTAAAGATGCTTTATTTGTTCCAGATGTGAGATCTATAATCAGTTGTACTGGAATTTCATCTTTTGCATCTTCCCTTTAAAACCCTTTTGCCTAAAAGTCCTTTGTATAGCATTCCTTTTTCTTTTCCTTTTGTGATCAGTTCAAGCATTGATGTTTTAGGAACCCTTCGAAGTTTTGATCAGACGACAGATTGCTCGGTTGTTAGATCCCAGCCTCCAGTGCCTACGTTTTGTCTATGAGGAACTAATAAAGGTGAAGAAAGTGGTGAATGTGTTAATGGTGTTACTAGTTCAACACTTTGTTGAAAGTCAATTGTAGTGCAAATTTTTGTTTGCTGATTTTCATCTCTTTAATTTGTTAAATGGCTGTGGATAAGGAAGATTATGTCATTGTATTATACTGCAGATGAGCCGGGCTTGTGAGGCAACTGAGATGCAGAGGTTTCCTGTTCTTAGAAGGAGTGTAGACGAAGTCATGGGCAAGTTTTTATGTGATGGTGTAAAGCCTGCTGAGAGAATGATAGCAAACATCGTTGAAATGGAGGTAGTTTAAGGGACCATAATTTAACAATGAATATGACACTGAACAGAACTGAATGGCAGAACAGGATTCATGTGGCCAAACCCATATAATTGGGACAAGGCTTAGATGATGATGATGATTAGAAATTGTTGTCTTTACAGTATTCTTAGAAAATACTTGAGCAATGGTAGTGCTTCATCTCTTTTAGAGCTCAGTCATTCAGATGGATAATGCTATTGTATTTAAATATACACCTACTATTACTCTATCACTGTTTTTTATCTTAAATAGATGCTTTAAAGACTGATAACATTGGTGGGTTTTGCACTGATCAAACAATCTTTATTATTTCAGATGGATTATATAAATACCTCTCATCCAAATTTTCTCAGTGGAAGCAAAGCTGTGGAGCTTGCAATGCAGCATCTGAAATCAACAAAGGTATATACAACTTAGGGTGGACCTAAGTCATGTTTTTAGTTGCAACTGCTGAGTTTGTTATTGCCTCTTTTAAACACTATTTAATTAAAGCAGATGAGAACTCTTAAGGATTCACAATGTTCATATGATACAGAAAGGTTCAAAACGTTGATAATTCAATCTTCTAGAAATGGGAAATTTTGAAACGGTGTAACATTTTCTGGAATGATTGAAGCATAGGGATAGGGAATATGGAAAATTTGTGTAAAACTTAATTTTACTGTAAAAGACCAAGTACACACACACACACACACACACACATATATATATATATATATATGAAAGGTTTAACAAATATGCTACCTATGGACTCATTCATTGGCATCCAACAAAATAGTATTAATACAAATGTAGTTTCTATTGAAATATATTTTGCTTTGACTGTTTTAAGTTCCAAATTTTCTCTGATACTTGTAACATATTTGACAGAAATATTGTTAGTGTTTCATTCACATTATACAATTCTAAAAATATCTTGGACAGATCTCAAGATTCTCATAAGTAGAAAGTAGAAAGTTTTACTGCAGATGGGAACAAATTTTGGGGAAAGTAGAAACTATGTGGAAAAGTCAACCATGACAGAAAGGGGCCTGAAATCTCGAGCAATTCTTGCTAAGTCTGTTGCAAATGGATATGTCTTAGACCAGGCATGTTTTTTATCATCCTCTAGTTTCTTATCTTATTCTGAATTTTTCTTTGAACTTTTTATTCAATTTAGATAAGCAATTGGTTTCATAGTTTTCAAGGTGCTAAGGTGGAGCTAGGTGACTAGGTAGTGATTGTCATCCAGCTAACAACCTTTGTGATTATCTTTTATAAAATAAGACTTGGTTAATTTTAGATTTTTTTTGTTAATATTTTTATGAGTTAACTTTTCCTTAGTAGTTGTTTAGGATTAAAAATATAATATATATATATATATATATAAGGCTTGAGGGGCCAGATTTGACAGCTGGCCCACTTCACATAAATTTAAATGTTAATTTATTTTGGTTATGGGGGGAGTGAAGCAACCACCCCACGTATGAAGAGTGGGGAGGTTGCTCTAACCTCCCTACCCATAACTGCCTCCTCTATATAAGGGAGAGAGGAGAGAAAAAATGGACGGCAGATAGAGAAAAGGGAGAAGAGAAAGAGATAAAAGGGAAAGAGAAAAAAAAAAAAAAAAAGAGAGAGAAGAGAGAGGAAGAGAGGAAATAGAGAGAACTTATAGTTCTGCTGATTGAAGTGATTAAGGATAAGTGTACACAGGTACAGATCTTATCTTTTTCTTCTATCCCTTTAAATTTTATCCACTATCAATCCTTATCTTCTCTCTCTCTCTCGCTGTCTATCTATCTATCTAGAGTTCTGTTAGAACTCAAGATCTTATCTCAATTTATAGGGTAAAATACAAAAACATCCCCTAAAGTTTCTGACAATCATAAATACCTCCCATATAGTTTCATTTTAATAAATACCTCCCCTGGACTTTTGAGAAACTCGATAAAAATCTCCCTTGTGTCACCTTCCCAGTGGAAAACGTTAGACTGATGCACCAGTTTCTTCCAAATACCCATTCTACCCTTTTATAACTTATTTTACATACAAAATTACTAAAATAACACTATTTTAACTTGACAAAAACCTCCTCTAACGATCATCTTCTAACATTTTTGTTGAGTTAAAACATGGTTATTTCAGTATTTTTGTATGTAAAATAGTTTTTAAAA